GAAGGAAACAAACTGTCTAATCTTATGCAGATAAATTTTAGTTTGCAGTCAGTGTTCATCACATCTATCAACGGGGACGTCTAGCAGCTGACCTTCGATGGCAGAGCATTATCTGAGAGCCACGGAGGTTCAGAGCTTTAAATCAATAGTTTTTGATAGTTTTTGAAACAGTCAGGTGGAGAAAAACTCTGAAATCAAGTAACGTCTGAGTAACGTCTGCAGAGCTGTTAACGCAGCCAGACATCAGTGTTGCATGTTCCCCATCCATGACTATCAGGTTTACCACACTGTAAATAATGCACTTTATCGCTGCTATTGCACTTCTGGTTCGATGCTGAACTGCATTTTATTGTCTGAGTACTTTCAGTCTGTGCAATGACAATAAAATTGAATCTAATTTAATCATCTAAGAGGAAATGCTGAAACCTGAGCCACCAACAATGAAGGTTGAAGGTCTTTAAAACTGTATTAAATTGTGCATGCAAGCATGAAAACAAAATTAAAAAGTACGTAGTAAAATATCTTCAGTGTGTAAAGTCATTTTTTTTTTACACCTGTGACTACTTGGGAAAATATTGTACATGTTGATTATAGTTTGTTTTTGTTTTTTAAAGTTGCATAGGAAATAATCTGATTAATTCAGCTTTTGTTTTTTCTTTGTTATGATTTATGGCATTATAATATAAATGTATAAATGAGTTCTTTCTGCGTCTAGCCATGATCGTGCTGTTTCCATAGCGGTGCAGGAATTTATATTGTCGTAAAAAAATGTGACAGGAGCTAAAAACACACCCAGAAACTGGTCGGAGTTCAGAGGGTTAAGCTCAGCTGCCACATTAAATACAAAGCGGGACAGATATTGCCGTCCCAGATGTCACTTTATTGGCTACTTTACACCTCTGCAGCTAAATCAAATGAAGTCTGAAACAACAGCCTTACTATAAATTCTCTCTTCATGGAGGTTATGATCCTCAGCTCAGCATTTGATTGAATATTATGGTAATTTTGGAGGAAGCGGTTTTGTGATGCTGTCGACCTGAATGATTAGAAACACCGATAACTTTCTGATGGCAGCTTTTATTGCTGGAAAAAATCAAACTGACATCAGAGTTTGACATCGATGGATAAATCTAAACTCGACAATCCGCCTAATAGGACAATCAAAGACACGTCAGCTTCAAATCATGCTCAATTGCAGCACGTCATAATCCAACACACTCTCCTCTTATGAGAAGTTATGCAGCGCTCATGAGCAGCAGATAAACTTCCATTAGAGCTAAACGCAGCAGCGAACACTAGAGCAGGAACCTGGCAGTTTACTGTAATTATGATATAGATTATAGCGCTGCAGAGAAAGCAGTTACATAAACCCGCCTTGAATTACGCCTCAAGGCTGAGCTGGATTCAGGGTGGATGAATGACGGGTTCATGGTGTCTTATGTGCAACAATAATACGAGGAAATAATTATATACAAACACATCCCTGGAACCAACACTGGGTTTAGAATTAGGAGGCTC